CTGTGCAATGATGTCGGCCAGTGCCTTCAGCACCCTCGGATGGAGCTCATCCAGGCCTGCCAACTTAAAGGCATCCAGTTCTTCCAAGTGACTCTGCACCATCTCAGGGTCTACGCATGGAAGTCTGGCGCCTGATATGGTTCTCACTGTGGCCACTGGATGCAAGAGCAGGAGAAATGCTCCAAATTTGCTGGGTAAGCACCCCTTTGGCATAGGGAATTTACAACAAGAGTACAGGATACGGCTAGGATTGGGGGTTGGCCGAGGACAGGAGGCATGATATGGCAAGGTCACCGCACATAGTGCAACAGATCCCAAATTCAAAAATAGGTGCTCAGGGCAGCCAAGTAAAATTACCATAACCTGAACATTTCGTTAACCTGTCTGAATTACCTGAGGATTGATGTAGACCCTGGAACAGCCCATAAGTAGAAGGGAGCAAAAGGGAGCTGAAAGCAATCTTCTCATCTACTCCACTCTACTCAGCTTAAGGTTCTGTACTGCCTTTTAACCATATTACCATTTTTATAAAAAGAGTTTCAGACCAGAACAAATCATTAAGTCAGTTAGTCAGACTCCTTAGTTATCAGTAGCCATTAAAATTTTACCTAGTTAGTCACACACAAAAATCTTCCAAATACCCATTTGTTCAGACCAACAGATAAAGAGTCTAATGATCCCCCTAATACTTGATTAAGTGGTTAAATCACCCTCACTTTTAGAAGTATGTATAATTTCAAGCTTTAACTCGCCTTGTTTCAACTTCCTTTTATTTATTTTTTTTGACACAAGATCTTAATGCGACCCCTAAAGCTTTTCCTTTGTTATTGCTTTGCAAGGTACAGTCCTCCATTTTCTAGACCAGGCTTGGCTTCCTGGTTCTTAGACATATACATTTGTGTTTGGCTGTATTAAAACAGTTTTGCTCTAATAGGCTCAACTTGTCAAACAGCCCTCACTTAAGTTATTTTATTTTCTATTTTAGGAATTATTTTAGCGACTGAATAAATTGCTGAAATAAATCAGAATGTATATCCTTGTTCTGTTTGTTTTTGGTTTTGTTTTGTTTGTAGAATTAACTCCTAGAGTCCTGTCAAGCCACTGACTTCGACACCCTCTCTTCCTCCCTCCCTAACCCCCAAAGCAATGCACTCCACTATCTATCGAAGCATTAGCAAAATGCCTCTCTTCCCCTTCTTTAGCTTTGAAATTGCCATCTCTCAGCTATACCAAGTTACTCGTGGTCTTGCATTAACACAAAAATAAACACTGTTAAATTTCTCTATACTATTCAATATTAAGGATCTACTCTATTTGCGATTTTGTGCTTTTCACGGAAACCATGACAAAAAAAGCAGTTTCTACAAACTCCATAAACATGGCAATACCCACAATTTTGGTGAAGAGTCAAGGAAATAAAAAAAACTTACTAAAAATAAAATGCTGGCTCCCCTGTGGCAGCCAGCAGTCCTCAGGGCTGCTGCAGCCCAGCCTCACAGCCCACCTGGAAGAAGGATGAGGAGCCACTGGCATGAGTGGGGAGCAGCAAAGATCTCCCCCCCCGCTGCTGATTGACCAAGACAGCTGCCCATTGTGCGGATCCGCCCCTCTCCAATCAGCTACAACAAGCAGGGCCACACAATGGGCAGCCAACTTGCCAATCAGCAGCAAAGGTTGGGGAGTCATGGTCCCCCAGCCAAATCAATGATGGAGGGTGGGGAGGGGGGCTACCACAAAAGGACAACTAAAATGGCACCGCAACCAGCCTGTGACTTTTCTCCA